CACACACACACACACACACACCCTTAGCCATGCGCAATCCCTTGAGGGCAATGGAAATACCTGTGCACAACATTACCTTTTCCCACCCAACTTTCCCTGACAAGTCTGAACAGCCCATCCATACCATGAATAAATAATATTTCTGAGATACAACAGCCAGACAGACTTCTTATTTACATAAGAAGTGAAGGGACTGGGGACTTTTCCTGTTGCAACAATCACTCACATCTAAAAAAAATGCATCCATTGATTTATCTTCCAGCACGAGCACAGCGGACTATTGACTCATTTTGTGATTAAAAATAAGATTATGGTCAAATTAGCAGGCAGTGTCACAGAAAGTTTGATATTTGGTCATGGTGGTGGTTTCATGGCTTTACGTTTGTAGAAAAATGCAGGCGCCACTCTGATCGTGTACAAGCAACAACTATCTGATTTACCCCACATCATTAATGTCATTAATGTAATGTTTGCTGGTAGCTGTCTCGCGATGTCCAATGTCTGAGACTGTGAAGACAACGACAGAGATCCATGCAGTTACATTATGATGCAAAAACAGCTCTTTCTTATCCCAACAAACATGACAACTCAGAGTGCTTTGTTTTAGTGCAGATCTGGATCAGGGGGCGGATCCAAGAACATTTTCTCACTTCCTTTAACATTGTGAGATAGGGTGTTTTTCAACATGTGACTTGATTTCCCAGAGAGTAATTTATGGATGTTGATGAAAAAACTGTGTGTGTTTAGAGGACTGATATTCATGAGGGTGCAATTTGGTGCAGATCTATGGAGCCACATAAAAATCTAAATGTGTTTGGCCTTGGCAGAGGTCTGTAAACTCTACTCAGTACTAGTACTTCTAGTTTTATTCTTTATTTTCTCTTCATGGTTTTTATTGTACAGCACTTTGTTTAATTTAGCAAATCCATGTCTTTCTCAAGTCCTGATGGCCGAGTATTAAAGTGACCATTAGTTCTTGAGACAACGTGGAGACAGTAGGTCAGTGGTTCGATGATATGGGTTCTTAAAATCTAAGAGTGCATGAAAAAGTCATAAATTACTTTTCCTGCAGATGCCAGGGGAGACGTCTCAACTCGTCCAGCACATCAACTAGTGTGTGCATGCACTGACGGTGAATAGGCACGCACACACATGCATTACAGATTAATCTGTGAGGTCAGCTTCTAGTCTCATCGACAGACGCGAAGCAATAATAAACTACACTATCAGATGTGTATCTTCCTGTTCAGACAAGAGATGCATAATATTCAGACAAGTGATGAATAAGCTGAGCTTCCTTTCAGGACACAGGGAGGGATGAAAGGATGGAGAGGAAGGACAAAGAGCGACTGAAGATGAGAACAAAGAACTAATGACTGAAGATTATTTGGTTTGAAGTGGAAAAATTGTTAATACAAGAAAATACAAGAAAATAAAATTAACAATTGAGGAAGAAAACTATTTGGTTACATGGGGATCAGATTATTAGAAAGAAACATTTGTAACTGTTCAAAAAAAGGAAAGATGTCAATTACAGAAGGTTCAACCAGATGTTATTAAATCTGTTGATTTTAGTTGACACTGTCAATTGACAAAAAAAGTCCACATTGCGTTTTACATTTAAGTTTTGCCAAACCTCATCCACGCTGATATGTTCATGTCCTTTCCCAAAATGTTCATGCTGGATTTCACATCATTGGGGAGCTTGTTCTGATTTACAACTAAAATTGCAAAACAATTTAAAAAAAAGAAGATATGTGGATATATCAGAAGCTCATGTAACGTTTTATCAAATGTGCCTAAACATTCAGCTAATCATCCAAAAATGGTGTAAAGTGACCATGACACGTTTTGATTTACAGTCAAATCATCCATACCTCCATCCAGTCATCCATCCTTCCATCCATCCATCACTCTATCCATCCATCCCTGCCTCTACACTGTGAACCAGCAGAGGCAGGTCCTGACAGGCTGCTGGAGACAGGGTGATGATTGCCAGACCGTCATCCATATACACAAGCAACAACTTGCCCGCTGCAAATTCACTTAACTGTCCAAATATCGAATACATTTATGCGCACGCAGACACACACACACACGCTGTAATTGCTGTTTGTCTCTAAGAGACTTTGGGAAAAAGATGTAATGACCTTAACAGACTGACTTTTTTTTAAATAGGTTTTTCCTGATATAGCTGAACATTTTCCTCTCTTTTTTCACCCTTGTAAAGCATTATTGTTAAAATCTTTTTTTTTTAGCCCATTAGCATATTCAAAAATAATGATTTTAACCTATTCAACCAACTGACAGATTACACAATGTAAGCAGTAATAGTGAGCTGAATGGCTTCATATTGACAGCTAAACTGTCCAGCACTGGGGAAGTAGGGATTGTAAAAGTTCTGTATTTATGACAGCATGGCATATACACAGTGTTACACAGAGTGTTAAGGGACACACAGCAGAATAGAGCAGTGTTAAACATATTCATTTCCAGGATTGATGACGTGCTGCAGTCCAGATTTCCACTGTGGTTATACTGGATAATGTTTACAGGGATGATATTATTTAAGATTGTCAATCCTAGAGCCTCTATTTTCTTTAATACATCTTCCAGGTGACTATAAAAAGCACCTCTCATTTACAAACACACAAAAGGGCATGTACTTGACTGGCATCTGAGTATGTGTGAAAGACACCATCTTTGTCCACTGCGTTTTCCCAGATCCAGTGGTCGACAGGACAGGAAGGCTTGTGGGGATGTAGCCGTGGATGATGCATGGGGAAAGGACGCATTGTGTGGGGCGTGTAGGGACCTGTGTCCTAACGGAGAGAAGCTAATAGCTGGGAAAAGCAGCTTCTGACAAGTCGCCGCGCGGTGCATGTTGGAGCCTGTGTAACCCCCCCCCATCATCCCCCACACATACTGTATGCACACACACTCCCACACACACACACACACACACACACACACACACACACACACACACACACACATTCACATAAACTGAAGTCTGAGTGCATGGAAAGAAGTCTTATTATTTGACAAGCCAGAGGTGTTACATCTCATTTCCAGCCGCAGTGACGCTTGCCTGCATCCACGCCAAGGAATCATCTTCAAGGGGCGAGATAGCGGCAGAGTTTCAGAGCTATTATCACTAATGCACGGTGTCTTGACGAGACAGGAGGGGGACTGAAGGATTACCAGGCGAGCTTAACATGGGCTTGGATGGATTTACAGCATGTGGAAACATTATGATAGTTAAGAAAGAGCATTGTGACTTCTCTTCTCTTCTCTTCTCTTCTCTTCTCGTCTTTCCCTTGGTAACCAGCTGTGTACAACCACCAACTTAACCTTTCTTGTAATCTCCCAATGCCACCCACTCTTACTGGGAGGATGGGAACCAGGTACCTGATTACAGTCAATATGCTTCTATGGTGTTGGACATTCCCCACTGCCTGAGGCCTTAAAAATCTGCAAGAAACTCAGACTCTTAAACTTTATTCAAACAAGGTGACTTAGTCTGGTCCAGCTATAGTCATCCTTTTCGGTGAGCATGTTCAAACCATGGTTTTCTGAATTCTGCACAAACACACAGAGCCACACGTGGATGCACGTTACACACACACACACACACACACACA